AATTCAAATAATATAAGCTTACTAAAATATTAATAGTAATTTTATCAAGAAAACTTAACGTAAGTTCTGTTACCATTACGTTAAAACTGTAAGTATACAGTACTAGCTTTCCGTCCGCAGCTTCGCCCGCGTGGAGTTCGGTTATATCGCGTTTCCAAGAGAACCTTTCAAAAGTCTGGGATAAAAACTATCCTATGTTCTTTCTCAAGGTCAACTCTATCTCTGTACCAAATTTTACTAAAATCAGTTCAGTGTATATAAATAAAGTATAAACGGAAAAGCAAAGTAATTCAAGCAAATTATACACCAGTTTGAAAGAACCTTATTTATATTGTAATAAGGTTGAAAATCAAATGAAGTATTTAATTAAGTATATTAATTAAATCTTATTAAAAGTATAACAAAATATGTATCGATGCATTATTTCAATTTTCGAATCTTTCCACACAGCCATTCTAAATTCAACCTTATTAGTACTAAATAAGTCATATATTAGACTGGTTATACAATTTAAGGTGTTTGTATCGATGTATTATTTCAAATTTCGAATCTTTTTCACTACAACCAATCTAAATTCAACCTTATTAGAACCAAATAAGTCATATATTAGAATGGCTATATAACTCAAGGTGTTTGTATCGATGTACCATTATTTCAAATTCGGAATCTTTGTCCATGTAGCCAATCTAAATTCAACCTCTTTGGTATCAAATAAGTCATATATTACAATGGCTGAAAAACGTAAGGTGTTTGTATCGATGTATCATTATTTCAAATTCGGAATCTTTTTCCATACAGCCAATCTAAATTCAACCTTATTAGTACCAAATAAGTCATATATTAGAATGGCTATACAATTTAAGGTGTTCGTAGCGATGTATCATTTCAAAATTTGGAATCTTTTTCCATACAGCCAATCTAAATTCAACCTTATTAGTACTAAATAAGTCATATATTAGAATGGCTATATAATTTAAGGTGTTTGTATCGATGTATCATTTCAAATTTGGAATCTTTTTCCATACAGCCAAACTAAATCCAACCTTATTGGTACTAAATAAGTCATATATAAGAATGGCTGAAAAACGTAAGGTGTTCGAATCGATGTATCATTTCAAAATTTGGAATCTTTTTCCATACAGCCAATCTAAATTAAACCTTTTTGCTACTGAATAAGTCATATATTAGAATGACTGTATAGTTTAAGGTGTTCGTATCGATGTATCATTATTTCAAATTTCGAACGTTTTGAATGATAAGTGTGAGGAGTTCGAATTTCGAATCCGAATTGATTTTACATGTAATGAGCTGGCGGCGAGATAGAGACATAATAAATCATTTGGCTGTATGAAGAAGGTTTGTTATAAAAAAAACATAGACAATATAAAATTAATTGTTTTTTTTTTATTATTGTGACTAAGTTATATAGACTAAAATAGTAGCTCGCTTAAAACCATAGAGAATTCGAAGTTTTTCTAACAAATCCTCGCGACGCCGCCGCAATCCTATCGTGGGGTACAGCAATAAAGATTATCTCGTACGGTCAGATACTCTAGTGATTTGCATTTAAAATTACTTTAAACTCAAGCATACTTAAAATACGTGATACTTATAGTATTACTGTAAACTTAGAACACGTACTATAGTAATCTCTAGTATTATAAATGCGAAAGTAACTCTGTCTGTCTGTTTGTTACGCTTTCACGCTTAAACCACTGAACTGATTTTAATGAAATTTGGTACAGACATAGAGTTGACCTTGAGAAAGAACATAGGATAGTTTTTATCCCAAACTTTTGAAAGGTTCTCTTGGAAACGAGATATAACCGAACTCCACGCTGGCGAAGCTGCGGGTGTAAACCTAGTATTATTACAATTAAATTTACCAATATACAAGGGTAATAATTTCAGAGGGTAACTTTATTTTATTAGTTATGATGTATCTATAGTAATATTATACAAAAAAAATACCCCGGAATTACTTGGACAATTATATTAGGACCCTCGCGACATTATCGCTTCATTATACTTTGATAGCTTGTCGAGTACAGTCGGGGTGAAAAGTTATATTTTGAAATCATCATTTATTCTTCAAAAGAAAGTTTGAATTGAAATATTTTCTATATTAACGACTTTTAAGGTATTTTTTTTATAATTAGTAATTATTTAGTGTTTAATTTATTACTAATTGTGAAAATATTTCAGCTTAAACTTTCTTCTGATAATCTGCTTGTAATGTAGATACGTGGAATTATACAATGCTAGTTACGCGGATTTGCACTATCCCCGAAGATATTATGAAAAGCTAATGATGATGGGATGAAATATTTTGATATCCATACTAGCTGTGGTCATGACTTTGTCCGTAGAAAAGTTATTTTTTTAATATGTATATTAATAAAAAATAAAAATAAAACTACTCTATGTTAACAAATATTACAGTCGCTATCTGTCAGTGAAAATCTCATCATAAATGGGCCAGCTGTTTCAGAGATTATCACGAACAAACAGAAAAACACAAAAACAATCTATCATTTTTATATAAAAATCAAAATAATTTTATTTAATTGTATACATAATTTCTAGAATAAATCTCAATAATTTTGTTTAGTAAATGCAATGGAAACAGTTGTTTTCTCATAAGCAATAATTAAAAAATTCTTCAAGTATATACATATATATGGCATTACTTTATGTACATATAAGTAAAAGAATATATTTTAATATATATTTATACTAAATAAGATATGGCCACGTGTAATATGGAACATAACGACGTACATACCTATATATAGTTGATTTAGAAAATATATATAAAAAAGTTAACTAACTAATATTACTAGAAATATATTATTTTTATGTCATCATCATCAGCCTATCAGAGCCTGCTGAGTCTCTTCTCACATGGAGAAGGTTTGGGCATTAATCACCACGCTTGCTCAAGACGGGTTGGTGATTACAAACTTATAATTTGATATAAGTCCAGGTTTCCTCATGTTTTCCTTCATCTGTCAGTGATGTCTAAATACTCTAAAGTACATATGACTCGGAAAAATCACATTGGCACTTGCCAGGGCCAGGATTGAACCCGCGACTTCATGCATGAGGCGGGCTTTTAACCACTAGGCCACCACTGACTATTTATATATATGTAGAAAAATATATATTGGAGTGAAGTCCAAAGCAATTAGAAGTATATATATATTATTTTTAAGTATACCCACATAACAAATTTCAAACTACCCTCAATTAATTAGTTTTTCCATACATATATTGTCAGCGACAGTACCCTGCCTCTAGAGACTAGTTGTGTGCATTTGATCCGCTGCACTTTTGATGTGTACATTAATATCAATTTTGTGTGTTTGTATAAATTATTCTGTTTGTTCGTCATAAAATTATTATATATAGATCGACATGATGAAAAGATACCACTTAATGTACAAAATGGACCGTTGCAAATATCCCCATGTAAAAATTCCCAAAGAGGGTTGATGTCAGGCAGGCGGCCGATCGTAGAAACAATTAGACAAAATTATTCACAATATTTAAGGCAGACCCTGGCTAAAGCTGGGAAATTGCCAGGTAGAAGAAGAAGATAACTTGTAAGGAATTATTTTTAGAGATAAAAATGCTTTTGTGGTACAATTGCGATTTTTTTGGTGTATTTGGGAGTAGATTATGTGTGTGAGTTAAAAAAATCCTTCAATCTTTATCTACTATGTTTATTATACTTGGACAATCTGAAGTCAGTGGTGGCCTAGTGGTTAAAAGGTCCGCCTCTCATGCACGAGGGCGCGGGTTCGATCCTGGCAAGTGCAATGTGATTTTTTCGAGTTACATGTACTTTCTAAGAGTATTTAGACGTCACTGATTAATGCATTCCCAAAGAGGGTTGATGTCAGGCAGGCGGCTGGTCGTAAAAACAAATAGCCAAAACTATTCACAACATGTAAGGCGGCAGACCCTGGCTATTGCCAGGTAGACGAAGAAGATGTATATATTCTTTGTTAGTTTGTAATAACTTAATAATGAACGGATTTAACTTATTCAATACATATTTATTTACTTGATAGAAAATCGCGGGATAAAGCTAGTTTTAAAATATATGGAAGGGTAATTATCACCTATCTTTATATATACTCGTTTTTATATGTTTGTCTTGTATATATATTATTAACTGATTCACGTAAAATATATAAACAAAATTAAAATTCTTTTTATCAATTTGGTTTAGAATTTCTTTCTTTCTTTAGAAAAATATTATTTATATACAAAAGTACTAATTCATTATATTTTGTTTAAGTTATCTCTTAAAATTATTTAAGAACTGTATCCTTACTACAAATCCGCGTCACTACATACTCCACGTCAACAGTATTTCATTAATAAATCTTGTATAGTATTAACGTAGTATTGAATGAGAAACGGGAAACTATTAGTATGTAGTGTGAGACTTGTGGTAAGTATAGTTCTTTCTTTTATAGTTAAAACTATCATATGTACAGTTTATAATCTAAACTTTCTGTATGTAGTATAATTATGAAAACTTATATTAAGAGTTGAAAATCATAGAAAATTTTTTGAGATTTTAATGAGATTTTTGTACATATAAAGCTTATGTCGTAGTTAAGGCTGATAGTTTGACAAATTGTTTAATACCTTCAAATTTATATTGCCCTTACCACAAATGATACTATTGTTCGGATTATACTACGATTATTTTATTATTGTAAAAACTACATACTCCCGACGTCTCAAAGATATTAAAATCTCGTCTGTATGATAATGGTTGTAAAGTAACCGAAACGTCGGGAGTATGTAGTTAAAATAATAAAAAACACGTAGTATACGAAAATATTAGTTTCATTTAAATGAATTCTATCAAAAATCTTAGCACATTACCTTACTACAAGTCTGTTACACTAAATACGTAGAGTTTAAAGTTCTTCATAGAGAAGATACGTGTACTTTTATTTATTATGCCTATTTTTTTGCAGAAACGGCCTTAAACTTCGCCAGCTATCAGATGGAAAGCATCTAATACAGATCATATATTCATCGGATGAGGAAATTCAGGACTGCGAATACATATCAGGGAGACCAGCTCGAGAATTCCTCAGGAGTTTGAGGAAAGAACTAAAACAGGCTTTAGATGAAGAAACTTCTAGAATTTACCAGAGAACCAAAGATATTGGTGATGAGAAATTCTATAGGACCTTCGGAAATGTTACTTTTAGAGTTTTGAGGAATGAAAAATTACCTAGTGATATATCAAATTGGATGGACTATGATAGATTGAAGCACGAATGCTTTCAACGACACGAGCAGCTCAAATACATGATGGAGAACAGAAGCAATGGAGATCATCAGAGGTTTGTATAATTAAAATAAAACTTCAATGCACTGCACATTGGACCTGGAGATTTCTTTTTCACCTTGTCTTAATGCTTCTCATATCAATGCACGTTCATTCTCACTCATTCCTGTTGGTACAATCCCATGGGTTCATATAAGTTTGGAGACGAAACTTCTCATCATTCCATCATATGCGTGTCGGGTCCATCGTTGTAGAGAGGAGCTTCAACAGTGACTGGGACTTGTGACCCAGGTGTAGGTTTAATATATATAGAGAGACGAAACCTCTCATCATTCAATGTATTCACGGTGCGTGTGTCGGGTCCATCGTTGTAGAGAGGAGCTTCAACAGTGACTGGGACTTCCGACCCAGGTGTAGGTTTAAGGGACCTCCACAATCCAAGCTCCTTTCTTCATCAAATTTGATTAAACCTACCAGGGCTGTCTTTGAAGTGTATTTTCCAAGAATAAATTACATATTTATGTATGAATGTTCTGAAAGGCACTTCTTTGAAGCAATCTCTATGGTGTTTGGAAATTTCCGTATGTATGATGATGTATGTATTTGGGTTTTCACAAGCTTGGATCACAAATATTTCATTCCACAATGGATAGATCTCGCAGGTCGATCAGGGAAAATTTTATAATGCCCGGCACGAAATGGTGTGGAGCTGGTCAGTTGGCGGAGACATACAACGATCTAGGGTCTGACAGGGATGAAGACAGATGCTGTAGGTCACACGACAACTGCCGCGTGAACATCGGACCTTTTAAACGAAAATTCGGCTTATTCAACTATAGGCCGTACACGATTTCGCATTGTCGCTGTGATAGAAGGTTAGTCATAATTTTTATGAGCTTGGATATTGGGGCTTGTGCTAACAGGGTGTTGGTTTGGTTTGATTTGACGAGGTGAAAATGAAAGTGATTGGTCCAATGTATAGTGGTAGGTTAGGTCAATATATGATATATGCAGAAGGAAGAGAGATATGGAGTTACTCCGCGTTCCTGGCACGAAATGGTGTGGGAAAGGTTACTCTGCGACTCATTATTCTCAACTTGGTGGATATACGAGGACGGACAGATGCTGTAGGGTCCATGATTTAAGATGTCCTTTCTGGATCGGAGGTATGGAGAAGAAATTTGGTCTTTACAATTGGAGAGTTAACACTTTGATGCATTGCCGGTGCGATGAGAGGTTGGTGGCTAGATTTTGTGATTTTGCATGCTATGCCTATTTCTGTGTTTTTTGTTGTATTTGTGTTAATATGTCGCTTTGTAATGCATGTTGTGATAGACAAGTGATGTATATATGTTTAAAAAATGCTTTATATGTAAATTACTACTTTAAAAGTTTTCTAAGAATAAAGCTAAACCCGTTTCGGTGAAACCTTGATAGCGTTATTAATAGAGTCGTCTTCGAGTTTTAGTAAAAAAAAATTGATAGATAAAGAAATGTCACCACCTCGGTGTAAGGACAAAAAACTGTAGAGACGGCCAGATAAGATAATTCTAAAAATATTAATTATTAGTATATATGACATAAAAAAGCTTGACTTATTTGAATCTGCTATAAATATTTACTTTGTAAAAATCCGTTTAAAAAGTTTTTTATTTATTACTAGCTTTCCACCCGAAGCTTCGCCCGCGTGGAGTTCGGTTATATCGCATTTCCAAGAGAATCATTCAAAAGTATTGGACAAAAACTATCCTATGTTCTTTCTCAAGGTCAACTCTATCTCTGTACCAAATTTCATTCTAATCAGTTCAGTGGTTTAGGCGTGAAAGCGTAACAGACAGACAGACAGAGTAACTTTAGAACCAAATATTACCCTTATATTTTTTGTTGTATCACTAAGAATCTCCATTCAACATTTTTAATGCCACTTGGAGATAGCATCACACTAATTGGTGGTCATAAATTGGGTCATTCTGATTGCTGTTTACGACCCCAATCAAAAGATACCATTAACGATATAATATTTGTAATACATACACCAAAGAAATAATTAAAATGTATAAGTATACAAAATTTTATCAAAATCGGTTCAGCCGTTTGAGCGTGAAGAAGTAACAAACATACACACACACTCACAAACTTTCGCAATTATAATATTAGTAGGACTATTATTTCTTTGAAATAGATTATGTATATCCCTATTTATTCTTAAAGTGGAACTTCACTTGGCGTTTATTTGTTGTGTTCGGAATAAGACCATGTGTGGACGATATATTCGTCTTCATTTGACATATTTGCACAAATAACACATACACAAATAAGATAAAACGTATAGACGTATTGTGATGCCAAGTGTGGATGTAGTATTTGCGCTATTTGGACAAATGCAGCGAATAAATCATATAATTAAGAATATTTTAACTTCTCAACCACAGTCGTGAGATCAAACTAAATGTAGATGAAGCGTTAAATATAATAAAAAAAGATTTGAGTAGAGATAACGAATAAAAAGGTCCGACGTAAAAAACTAACGCATTGGTATACATTTTTTTATTTTTACATTTTTTTCAACCCATCCCTAGAACCGTCGAAGTTGTTAAGACTTTTTAATGTAATTCATTTCTAATGGACATTGTATTTGTAAACTATCCACGTTTAAATGAAACTAATATTTTCGCGAGTGTTCATTTAAATGAAACTAATATTTTCGATAGTATTAATTTTTGATCTTAAAGAGATGTGAGTGTCTGTCAGTTGGTCTTGTTATTTACCTATTTTAACTGATAAATTTAAAAATAAATTAATTTTCTAGTTTTGTTCCTTGTAAAATATCCTGTATTAAATTAATTTAGTTTCTATATATATTATTATTTATTATGTTAATTAGTAGGTAAATAAAATGTTGAAATTTATAGCAATTAATTGACCTATACTAAAGTTAGCAATTGCTTCTTGAAAGTTATTTGAAGAAGGGTACAACTTTAAGTGTAAATGAGATATATATTTTTTGTTGTAATTAAAGCTATTGATTAATAATTATTAAGTAATGAAATGGAAGTATTATCTTTGATAAAGGGGTAAATAGTTTAAAAAGAATTAAAGTTGGCATATCTGGAAAAATTCACCCATAAAAGAAATGAATTTAAGTTAATTGGATAGCTATGTACTATTTTATATTGGACATAAATGTATATTATATTTCTTCTACCTGGCAATTTCCCAGCTTTAGCCAGGGTTTGCCTTACATGTTGTGGATAGTTTTGTTTATTTGTTTTTACGACCGACCGCCTGCCTGACATCAACCCTCTTTAGGAATGCATTAAATATTAATCAGTGATGTCTAAATACTCTAAAGTACATATGACCCGGAAAAATCACATTGGTACTTGCCAGGATCGAACCCGCGCCCTCGTGCATGAGAGGTGGGCCTTTAACCACTAGGCCACCACTGACTCGAATATATATTATATTTAATAATGTTATATATGTTTTACCTTAATATAAAATTTATTTACTAACACCATCTCTTTGAAGTCGGTCAAAACATTTATCATTTAAGTTCTCATCCATAATTATTGCAGCCATCAGTTCCGAGTAATCTAAGTTTTGATATCCCGTGGCGTATGAAAAATTGTATTTTAATTTTGAACACCTTTGACTTCAAGGAAACAAATTTTTGGTGTTTTTAGTTGTATTACATTGATGAGATACAATATATCCCTACTAATATTATAAATGCGAATGTAACTCTGTCTGTCTGTCTTTCTGTTACTCTTTCACGCCTAAACCACTGAACTGATTATAATGAAATTTGGTACGGAGATAGAGTTGACCTTGAGAAAGAAGATAGGATAGTTTTTATTCCAAACTTTTGAGAGGTTCTCTTGGAAACGAGATATAACCGAACTCCACGCGGGCGAAGCAGCGGGGGGAAAGATAGTATATTATATATATATACCTACTGTTTTATATACATTATACCTACGATTTGAATGAATCTGTGTGTCACTAAAGATGAACTGCAATGTCAGATATAAAAAGAAGTAAATCTACGTTAACATTTATAAAAACCAAAATATAATATATATGTATATATATATAATATGTCAGTATTATTGATATCAATGCCAGTAAATGACCGCCCCACAATAACTGTTCGCACAATAAGTTTCCGTGCCGCTACACAGATAATTTCACGTAAGACGTTATTTTTCACATAATTCACGTGTTGTCAAATATATTTAGCCGCATTATTCACAGATTATAAAACCGTTGAGACGTGGCGATAAAAATAATGGCGGTGGATGTGGGTAGGCAGAGAAAATATTGAAAAAATAACTTGGTTTAGGAATATTTGAGTAATCATAAGTTAGGGCTAAGGTGATATTTAACTAGCGACATGCGATAGACAGACGAAAATTATTACATAATAATATAACCCTAACATTATGTAAATTCTAGCATATAATATACTAGCTGACCGCGCAAACGTTGTTTTGATATAAAAAATAGGGGTTGGTGATAGAAAAGTAAAAATTTTGAGTTGTATGTATTTTTTAATGCTATATAATAAAAAAAATAAAATAATTAAGAGTGAACAACCCTATGACTTAGGTATAAAAAATAGATGTTGTCCGTTTCTCAGACCTACTCAATATTGTCATTACATCAAAATCGGTCCAGCCGTTTCGGAGTTTTGTCTAACACGAACGAGAATTTCATATATAAGATATATTTTCTAAACTCAACAATATTACTTCCGCGCCATTAGCTTTCCATTCAGAGGGCGCGATTTTAAAGAATTTCATGAAATACATTTTTGATACGTCACTTGTCTCAAACCTATGGGGCAAACAAATTGAGTGAAAACTTCTAAGAGTTTAAAGTCGACTTAATATTTAACACTCAAGTTATCATATACAGGGTGACTGGTGAATTACTATCAATATTTAAGGAGAATACTCGGTACATGATTCTCATTCAAATTATGTAAAAAAAATAGGTACCTAATTTTTGACCAAATTTCCGTATAAATAAATAAAGTGTTGACACGTTCCAAGTGTTAAAGTGTGGACGCGTGCGGCGACGTGTTGATACAACACTACGCCGCCGCACGCGCGTATGTGTGAGTGTGTGTATATACCTAATCTGTAGGGTGTTCACGCGATGCGTAATTAATTACATAACTTTTGGTTAACTTTACTTAGAAGTTTATTAATATTTATGTTATATTAATTTTTATTTTGTCATATATGATCGTCAAATATCACGTCCTCAAATATCGATAGTAATTCACCAGTCACCCTGTATATGAAAATTCATATATAAAGAATAAAAAAAAAACTTTAATTTCTTAAAGCTTTTTATTATATAATTTCGAGAATCTGTACTTACATACATAATATTTTTATTCTTATACATAATAGAAGTCTGGTGGGATAGTGGTTAAAATCTCTGTCATTTCTATGTTCTAATCTATCTATCCGCCAATTTTCAACCAAATCAATACAGCCGTTCTTGAGTTATAAAAAGTGTAATTAGCACGACTATCTTTTTTTTATATTTTTGACATTATGTTCCTTAAAATATATGCTTATATATATTGAAAGAAAATTAATATAGACACATAATTAAGATCCCATATATATATAAGGAAAAAATAATATAAAAAGTAAGAACAATTAAATATATAACATCGTTAGAAATCCTTCTAAAACCTCTTTGGCCGCTAATGCCACCGAATGCCACGCTTATTTGGCACTTGTACTGTAACTAAGCCACTTATGACTAGTGCGGGGAAATATGTCGATGTTTTTGAATCGATACTATGTACTTATGCGATTTTGATCGTAAGAATCAATTTTATTGGTTTATCGTATGATAAAGTGGAGTTATAATATAAAATTGTATTAAAAATTAGATATTTTTTAATTAATATGTATATATTTCGAGATTTCTTTCGTTAATCCTACTATATATATTATCTAAATTAAATATTTTTATATATTTTTTTATCGATAAAAGCATGTGTCGTGTACAAGTAAGTGTTTTTTAAATCTCTATAACAGCTTGACCAGAACTTTGGCAAATCAAGCGAAGTACGTATTGGAATGTACAGAGTAGGAATTACAGAGGCATACACAATTAAATAAATAATAATTAAATTTGTTAAATTTATTCTCAAAATAAATAATTCTTTTATATTTCAATACATTACAATATTTAAATACATTTTCGATTTTTTTTTCTATCTTTACATAAATAATAAAATACTTACATTATATTCAATATTAAAAGTCGTAAAGTCAGTGGTTGCCTAGTCTCTTATGCACGAAGGCGCGGGTTCGATCCTGGAAATTCATATATATAAAGGAACAAAAAAAAAACTTTAATTTCTTAAAGCTTTTTCGAGAAACTGTACATACATAATATTTTTAGTCTTATACATAATAATACTAGTCAGTGGTGGCCTATTGGTTAAAGAGCCCGCCTCTCATGCAAGAAGGCGCGGGTTCGATCCTGGCAAGTACAATGTGATTGTTCCGAGTCATATGTACTTTATAAGAGTATTTAGATATCACTGATTAATGATTCCCAAAAGAGGGTCGAAAAAAACAAACATCCAAAAACTATTCACAACATGTAAGGCAGAGCCTGGCTATAGCTGGGAAATTGCCAGGTAGAAGATAGAAGAATAAGTCGTAAAATAAAATAAATTAATAATAGTAAGTCTCTGTGCGTTATACAACTGTGTATAGTGCATACAAAGGAAAAGGTACAGGCTCGTTAAGGCGATCTGAGTAACTTTGTCAGCTATACGTAATCCACGCTCAAATAAAACACTGAAATACTCGCTAAGGGTCAAAGTTATTTCTTTTACTTTGTTTTTGATTCGGACCACAGAATTTGAGATCTTAAGACGTTAAAAATATAAAGGTTTAAAATAAAGTCACTAAAATGTTTTGTTAGGATTTGTCGCGTCACTAAATACACTGAAAACACATTTATTCACAAAATTAACAAGAGATTTTATTTAAAAACTATATTTATTATGTTTTTTGGTTAAAAATATCTTGGTTTTGTAATAAACTTCTATAACCGATATTCAGCAAAAAGTTTTTATGCATTCCTTGCATTTGACGCTTGCGTAATGGTTGCTTTGTTGACCATAATATGCTTTTTACGTCTTTATATAAGTAATAAATGAACTTTGTTTTACACACCTTTTAAATGATTAAATTAAACAGAAAGTCACGTAAACTAGTTATTACTTAATTTTTATAATAAAATACTGTAAATTCAACAAAAACACAACAATGGCGAATTCGTTTCTGCAAGTAATGCAAAAAATATTAATAGTTCATAAGAATTTCGGTTCCCGCCATTTACGACGCGTGACAGACTGTTCATGTGTAAATTTTAATATCCACAGATTAAATATAGTTCTTATGTTTATTACACGTTTAATATTATTAATTTTATTTCTTTATCTTTTCTTTTATATAGTATTAACAATTTAATTCCTGTAGAATTATTTCCGCAAAAATCAATAACAGACAGAATGCATGCTATTTTGTCAGGCGTTTAATATTTGCCAATCCCTACTAATATTATAAATGCGAAAGAAACTCTACCTATCTATCTGTTACGCTTTCACGCCTAAACCACTGAACTGATTTTAATGAAATTTGGTACAGACATAGAGTTGACCTTGAGAAAGAACATAGGACAGTTTTTATCACAGACTTTTGTAAGGTTCTATTGGAAACGCGATATAACCGAACTCGAAGCGGGCGAAGCTGCGGGCGGAAAGCTAGTTAAGAGTAATCCTTTTTTTCTATCAATCTATATAAAGAAATTACAACCTCGGTTTTCGCTTAACACTTTATGGTGGCAATAGAATGTGATTTTATCACTGTATTTTATAGAACTTTTATCGCATATTTTGTCAGCGTTTTATTTTAATTCGTCCCAGGATTTATTACTATTCGTTTATTGGTGCATCTTAAGTGGATGCCGCAGTAAAAATTTACGTACATTCTGTCTGGTTGTCAGTGTTGCAATACATTAATTTAGTGACAATAAATTCGACTAATTTTATAATTTGTTGTGACAACACTGAAATTTAGTTTTCTTTTATAAAATTTATCCTAATTTAGGTTGAAATATTGTAACAATGGTTGTGTTTTAATAGTTTTTTTTATTGTATGCTATTTTTATAATAAATGCATTGTTTTTCAGATTTCGTGCATGTCTGAAGCTAGCCGATACGTCTGTTTCAAATATGGTGGGCAAATTATTCTTTAATATTGTTCAAACTAAATGTTTTATTTTGAAACCGATGAAGGTATGTACGGAAAGGTCTTGGTGGGGGAAATGTCTTCGTCACGGTTCTATGAAGCAGGCGTTTTTAAGAGACAATCTACCATACTGAATATTTTAAACATATCAAATACGATTAATTTTTTCTTCATTTCCATCAAGTTTGTTTATGTATTTAGTTAAAAAGAGTATTTATTATTTATTACAAACACGGATAATGTTTTCGATTATTAATTTTATTTTTATTTGTCAAACGAAGATAATATTACTGTATATAACATATATTCTGTAATAAATCAGGAATCATTTTTATTATTATTTAAAAATAAATTTCAAATTATACCATTTCATTATCCACTGCCATTATATTTTTTTATTGTAAATAATGTAATTAAATAACTTTTAATATTTATTAAGAATTAATTTATTAATATTGTAAATATCTGTATTGTATGTAGCTTAAATACTTTTACGTCGAAATAGAACTTCCCCTTAAGTTATGAGTTTAATTTTGACAGTTGAAATTGACGTGCGATTATCGATTTCATTTTGGCAAGTTTTTTGTTATATGTATTTCTTACCATAAGTAATCATAATTTAACTACATACGAGCAGTTTGAAAGTTTTTCGTATAGTCACGATAATATTGTAAGTGGATTTGTTAGTTATATCTGATAACTCTACTCAGTGTGATGAAAACTTGTAACATTGCGTAACTAAAACTATTTAATGTTTAATTTTAAATTCTGTTTAACTTAAAAATTACCTGAAGTTTCAGTTTTCGTGATTAATTACTTATGGGATTTTTTTATATTGTTTTTATATGTGAACGTTTGTAATACCAGACGCTAGTCTTAAACTACTTCGGTCACTTGAATTCTTGTTTCAAATCATTAAAATGTTGTATTAAATTAAACTTTTACTAATTAAAAATGAAATATGACAACTTTGTTATAGGAATTCGATTATTATAGAAATTTTCTCAATTTAATACATTCTCGGTAGATAAAATAGCGTGATATAGCGTTTCTTCTGCTACTTAATAATAGATGGCGTTGTTAAAAGTAGTGTCAGTTCACGGAAATGTTTGAAATTAAATGAAAATAAATGTAAAATTAAATAGCAATGAGAAATGTAAATTAGTAAATTTTACTTCGATAATTGAAAAACTAATTACTTAAAAATATTGTAGTAATATAAGAGAAAAACTTTGTTAATAGTAACGTTACTATACATAAAATAGTTAAACAAACTTTACTTATAAATATTTTTTTACTTTCTAATGTATTTTTGTTAAGTTTTTATCAGTTTAGCATCAAAATAGTTTTATATAATGTATATACAATATTCAAAATTATTTAAAAAACAGTATTACAAGATATTTGCTATTTCATTTTTCTGTTTCCTGAAATATTAATTTTTCATTAATTATATTTATTTTGTAAGATTTATGAGTAAAATTTAGGCTAAGCTAGATTTTTAACTTGAAGTTCCTGTATTGACAATATTTGTGTAGAATTTATTTAGGATAGATATAAATAACAGTGGAATAAAAAGATCAATGATTGGAACCATATATACATATATTTATTTAATTATTTGTGGTCTGATTGAAATAATAAAAAACGGCCAATTTCATCAAATTTTTATTATGTTTATACAGAAATGACATATAAATATTTTTAAATTGAGTATTTTTTTTGTTCCTTTATTCACAATTATATCAACTTGTGTGATTCAATATTATCTTATGGAAATTACAAAAGTACATACCACTCGGTTAATTTTTAAGATTTTTTAAGTGTTTTTTTTTGTGACAGAGAACCAGATATTATATACTGTTTATAAATAATGTGTGTTGTGAAGAATGTGAAATAAAAATATATAGAAATAAAATTCTAGTTTCTTTTCCTATTCATGTTATTTTGAACATATTTAATTATTTTTATACACAAAAATCAGCAATCAGCCTACTGGTGCCCACCGCCGAGCCTAGGTCTCTTCTCACATGGGGAATTTAGAGCATTACCACGCTCTCAAGACGGGTTGGTGATTTCAAACTTATAATTTGATAAGTCCAGGTTTCCTCACGATGTTTTCCTTCATCTGTCAGTGATGTCTAAATACTCTTAGAAAGTACATATGACTGGGAAAAATCACATTGGTACTTGCCAGGATCGAACCCGCGCCCTCGTGCATGAGAGGTGGGCCTTTAACCTCCGAGCACTACCATTTCTTATAATAATGATATCAACACTTATTATTTAACGGTAAAGTTACTAAGCTAGAATTGTTACAACTTGAATATATTTATACCTTTGAAATAAATAATCTGAGTAACTAAATTTCAATATAACAATAGATTTAATATTAATTTAAATATATCAGTTATTAAATAAATTTTCATTAGGATTAAGAATTAATAAAATAACGGAAAAAAAATTCATCATGTTTGAAATATTTTATTTTAGCAGCGCCATCTATTGTCGAGGGGAGTAGCTAGCTTGAGACCATAAACTATAGAACGAGACTGATCTGTCAAAGTAGGAAGAAATATATTTTTTTTGGTTATGTTCGTTCCGTTCAGAACAGGCAAAGAGAACAGACAGCCATGTATTTTGTATCTTTAATTATTTTTAAATATCTTAATCTCCTTTTTTATTCTTGACTCAAGTTTTTATATCATTCTTTTTTTAATTTTCTTCTTAAATCATTTTTTTTATTTTAAGGCCGAATCCATGTCTTCTTTTAATTTTTCTTCTTTAATCATTTTTTAATTATAAGGCCTAAGCCATGTCTTTATTTAAAATATATTTTTTTCTTGTTGTTTTTTTACATTCCGTCGTTTTTCAATGTCAAGTCCTTGTAATGTCATTTTTAGTACAATTCATTTGTCACAATCGATAAAACGGTCAAATTCTGAAAATAGCTGAAATAGCTGAAAAACAAATATCTTAAACAAAACGAAAAAATTAGTAGTATATACATATAAAATTAGATTGCATTTATAGTAGAAACAATAAAGCCATAAACTGGCAAGAAGCATTCTTGAATGCTTAGTATTTGCTGAAGGGAGCGCGGGATATCTTCAGATGTTTTAAAAATACTCAAAAGTTGGTCTACAAGGACCATCCTTTGAATACTAAACTGTGGACAATCAAAAAATATATGTTCGAGGGTTTCATCAGCACTATTGCAATATCTACAAATTGAAGAGTCAAAAACACCAATTCTAAAAAGGTGAGCACAAAAACTACAATATTCCAAACGTAAACGACAGATTGTGGTATAATACTTTCTATGGCTATAGTCACTACCCCGGGTAAAGAAGAGACCTTTTCTTTATTGTAGCGAGCCATTTTCCTTTTACCTTTACCACCTGATGCCACAAGTTGTAAAATTCTTTCTGTAACTTGAGTTTGAAGAGGGATAGAGCATCTGAATAAGGAATTGGGAAATTTAAAAAGCTATGACTTAATTGATTGTGGGCCGGATTTGTAATAAATTTAGCTAACTAGTCTGCTTGCTCATTACCATGCACACCGATGTAGGCTGGTGTCCAGAATAGGACTATGTGTTTGTTTTGAGACATCAGGTGATACAACTCTCTTATTTTATATATAATATAGTTAGTTTCTGAATTTAATTGTGGATTTTGTGGTGCCGTTAATAAACTTAAACTATCTGTTATATATATCCGATTATAGTAGTATATGTTTGTGAGTGGATTCAGCCTATGACCGAATCCACTTTTGATCTATCATAGACAGCTATAGAGACTGCTTCATTGTTCCTAGACCCATCAGTATATATCTGATGATATCTCTGCCACCTATCAAGTTCCCTATAAATGTCTTCCTTATACTTTAGAAGACTTTTGACTACAATTTTAATCTGCATAAATTTTGATTCATATAACCCAGAGTAACAAGGCCATACCATGCTAGAAAATATATTAAGTTTATTAAAAATTTGTTCTGTTTCAGAAAAACCTTGAAACAAATATGAATTAATATTGGCAGTCCTGTTAATAGTGTCCCGTAGTTTAACAAGAAGTGGATGATTACTGACGGAGAGCAGTAACCTTGCAAAACATTTTGATTGTAAGTATTTAAACCAAAGTGCTAATGGAGTATATTACATTCCACCTGCATTGACACTATGGGAGTAGATCGGATGGCACCCCCATTATAATATGCAAACATTTATTTTGTATCTTTTCTAATTTATCTACTATAGTTCTTACCCCTGCAAAACAAAAAAAAGCATATTCAAAATGACTCCTTACTAATGATTTATACTATGTTAATAGAATCCTTGGATCAGTACCCCAATATGTGCCTGTTAAAGATTTTAAAACATTACAAGCATTTAAAGCTCGAGATTCTAGAGTTTCAGCATACTTATTCCAACTAGAATTGTTTGTAAAAATAACACCTAAAAACTTTACAGAGCTCTATACAGACATTACATTATTATTGAACAAAATATTTACATTCCTACTTCTAATTCCATTTTTTGAAAAGACAACAACCTTAATTTTTCATTGCTGACCTCCAGACCAAGGCTATCAAAATAGTTCTTTAGTATGTAAAAAATTAGTATCAGAGCAATAAACAACTAAATCATCTGCAAACTGCAGATTAGAAACTTCTGTATGAATAGGATAAAAAGTATGATGACTGATAACTGATGTATGAATAGGATAAAAAACAATGGGCTCAATACACCATCCTGTGATACACTCCTACAAGAATATCTTGGACCAAATAACTGATTGTTGACCTTAACAAACACCTTTCTGTAGTTCAAAAAATTAAAAATCCAATTTACAACTTTTCCAGGTACCTGTAGTAATAATATTGAAGATAATTTGCTCAGATCTACATTATTGAAAGCCCCTACAATGTCAAGAAAAACACCAACTAGTACTTTATTCTCGGAACGAGCATCGTGGATATCCAGACGGAAATGATGTAGACTCTCACAAACAGAACGGCCACAACGAAAGCCAAAGTGATTGTAAGGTAAAAGATTATTACTTTCTATGTGAAAAATTAATCTGTTTTATTAATTGTTGGAAAGTTTTTCCAAAACATGAACTCCTATTAC